ATTGTTTACCTAGTGCAGTGTCTGACACAAAGCAAGCATTCAGGTGTTTGTTGAAGGAACGATTGTTCATTTTACCTTTTCAGATATGTGCCATGTATGGTAGGGACACAAAGTTAGTGTTCAGCTCTCAGGGGAGGTCAAGGGATGGTATCCCTGGTAAAGGCACATTTGAACCCTTGAAGGGTTAGTAGGGATTTTTCAGGAGCAAAGGATTCCAAAAAGGAACCTCATCTGCAAAAAACATAGGCACAAAATATGATTCAGGGACTTTCAGATTTCAATCTAGTTGGAGTATTTCCTGATGGAGTTAAGAGAGAAAGAGAGAATCTTCCAGGGACAAAGAAGGCCTTAGGAATAAGGTAACTTGAGCTAGGACCTGAAGGTGATGAGAACAGGCTTTGTGAATATGGAGGTAGAGGGAACCACAGGTGCCGAAACAGAGAGAGTACGTGGCCTAGTTGAGCAACAGAAGAAAAAAAAAAGAATCAAGTGACTGGAATGATAGGAGTTTGGCAAGAATGTCCAAACTGTGTAGGATCTGTAGACTATTGCAAAGGCTTTGGCTTTTAATCTGAGTAAGATGTGGTTTTGAGCAGAGAAATGACATTATCTGACGTACATTTTTAAAGTCTAGTCTGTGAGAATAGACTGTGTTGAGAATAGACTGTATGGGAGCAAGGCAGAAGCTAGTAGATCAGTTTGGATGTGGTATTGATGCAGGGAGAGATCGTGGTGGTCTGGACCAGAATGGTTGCAGAGGAGGTGGTGAGAAGTGAAAGGATTTGGGATAAAATCATAGCCTTGAAATTTGAGTAACATTACTTTACCACCCTCCACCCTAGAAAATTCATTAGTAAAGAAATATTATAAAGTTCCTTCTTAGTGCAGTTCTAGGTTAAAGGAGAAAATATGGCATATAGAGAAAAACATAAATGGAAGAAAGTGACCAACCAGATCTGAAATATCATGGCTGACAGGTACACATAAGGAACTGTTTGACATTGAAATTGGGACTCAAAAGAACTATTGACCCAGAAAGGAACTCACTACGACTGATTCATTTGCCTCTCAGCATAACCATTATGGCTTGTCTCAATTTTGGTTCTTATAAAGGTATTTCTTGTATCACATGATCTAACGCATCTAGGGGAAATAATGAGCAACATAAACTGATGAACAGAAACAGACCCAGAGACAGAGAAGCAGCGATCAGACTGTCTAACCTCAGAGGGAAGGTAGGGGAGGGTGGTGGGGGTAAGGGAGAGAGATCAACCAAAGGACTTGTGTGCATGCATATAAGCCTAACCAGAGGTCATGGACAACAGGGTTGGGGGGCATAGTGGGGAGGGTTTGGGGATGGGAATGGGGGGATGAGGACAGTTATGTGATACCATAATCAATAAAGAAATTTAAAAAAATAAATGGAAGAAAGTGGTATTGGATATTGCAAACACTAAATTGAATTGTCAGTTATAACTGCATTTCAGAAATACAAATTGTTCTATACCGGAAATATTCAATATCTTATAAAATGAATTTAACATAAAACAAAACTCCTAGCAATATAGGAAGCATAAATGGGGCTTGGGGAGAGGTATAGTATGATAATATATCCCATAGTGTATAATAGGAAAATGTGAGCTAAGAATTTCATTCTAATGTACTCTTGTTCATTTATTTTCGTAAGTTTAAATATTTCCCATTCCTATGCAAATGTATCTTTGCATGGTATTTTAAGAATAAAAATTGTAAGAAGAATTGTTCAGTAGTATCTCAGAATGTTTTTAAATGTATTTAGGTGGTCCTGTGCCAAGAGACATTTATCAGAGAATTAAAAAACTTGAGGATAAAATCCTTGAATTGGAAGGCATCTCTCCTGAGTATTTTCAATCTGTAGTAAGTATAAGTATCTTTTAAAAATAACTAAATGTTATTTTATTCTAGGATTCTTTATTATATAACAGTTTACTCGTTGATATCCTATATATGAGATGCTTAATAATTCAGAGATGAATAGAACATAGTTCTATGTAAGAGATTACCTACATCTTTAAAAAATGTTATTCCAATTACTGTACTATAGATTCATAATTTTTTAAAGGGGTGCTTTTGTACCCAGTTTCTCAAATTTAAGCCATTTTCATGGTATGATAAGTGAGCCTGGATAATAGTCCATCCTGTCACTCTGAATTTGCTGTCTTATAAAACAAAAGCTTCTTTTGGCACCTTGCTCTGTCAGTTATCCCCTCTGTCTCTTTAATCCTTCACTCTTTATAGACTCCTTCCCTCAGCTCATATGTGTTTACATTTCTACCCCATACTAAGCACACATGCACCTCGATCTGCCACCCTGCCTTTTTCTTTATGTTAGCACTGCACTTTTTGAAAGACTAGTCTATATTGTCTAATTCTTCAATTCAGGCATTTATTCATTCACTCAGTCATTCTTATCTCTTTTCCAAGGAAAATATGAAATAATGTGTTGATAAATACCTTATTGTCACATCATCATGTTTCAAACAAATTGTTCTGAGCTCATTGTATTTCCCTCCATCTTCAGGGGTGATTATCCATAACACCTGCCTTTTTTGAGGGCTGGATGTTTGTGTATGGTTTTTTAAAGTATTAGATAAAACCAAAATGTAAAAGTAAACAAAATTGGTTTACTAAATTTTTAGGTTACTAAATTTTTAGTAATATTTTTCTAAAACTTTCTGAAAAGTTATATAAAAAAACTCATATTTTAGAGCATAAGTCACTGGTGAAATTATATTTAAATTGTTTTAGGTATAGCATCAAACTTTCCAAAGTCTTAAATTGGGTATTACAGTGAGGAACAGAAAAGAATTTTTTCCAGATGAAGAGAAAAGCAAGCTACACAACAAAAGTGAGCAGTGAATCCTAAGATTAAAAATATATAGAGTGAGTTTTAGTGATTTACTTCCTTCAGTGTGAAATGAGGTTTATTAAAGTACTAAGGGCTAAAGCAATTATTAAATTATACAACACCAGTCAAGTACTTGTCACCTACTTAGCACATGGTAAAACCTCAGAGAATATTACCAGTTATTTTGTTTCAGAAACTATCTATGAAGTAGCTGTATAAATGTGGATAACTCACACAATTCCTTTAGCCTTCACTTGTCCAATTTAAGATTTGTTGGTTGTACTACATAATTACAAAGGTCTTTACACTTTTAGAATTTTTTTTTAATGTATCTTTCTAGGAAACGTCATAGAGACTTTATGCCTTTTCCTAAACAATCTACCATAAGTTTTCCCATTCTAATTGCCTTCATTCTGTAATCTCTAGGCAGGTTATTCTCCCAGTTCAGTTTCTTGTTAATGTAATTCTTGTTAATAATAGACCTAACCTTAGAAGAGAGTGCTATAGTGTTAGATGCCTTGGGTGAGAACTTGCCCCATCATTTGCTCTTCTCTCTGATTTTGATTCTGTTATATCACTTGGTTAACAAAAGAACAAGCTCATCAAATAGTAATCTTATTTTGGGGATCTAATATACACAGGGTAGAATGTTCAGGGCATTTGGTTAAAGAAGTGAAAGTAGTTGGATTATAGAGGACCTTAAATGCTGTACCCAGAAGTTTAAAGTATCTAAAGTTTAAATGCTGTTGAACACGAAAATGACCTGTTCAAGTACTATTTAGAAGATTTTTCTAATATCGTCCTGGGAGGTAAATGAAAAAGGAGACTAAGAATAAGACAGTATTAGGTGTGAAGTGAGATCCTGCGTTATGGACATGAGAATGAGAATAGGAAAGATTATGCAGGAGACAATATAAAAGAGAAGTTGACAAATTTTGATAATATGTCGAGACAGACTAAGAGTGAGTCCAGTTTCTGGTTGGAAAAATTATACCACCATTAATAGAAATAAGAAAATCTGAAGGGGAGCATATTTTGGGGGGAAATGTGAATTTAAAGTCATAACAGATAAGAATAGAAATATCAGGTAAGCCTTCCAAGGTGTATGCCTTAGACTTGCCACAGCTGGAAAAGCCTGTGTGGAGGAGGTACAATAGTTAAAACACAGAATGGGTAAGAACACTGAGAATGTCAGAAGCCTGAGGTCTGAAACTTGGTGACTACCTAACTTCAGGGCAGGAAGCATTATAAAAGTAATGTGATTAAAACTAGTGCTTTTAAAGAAGATCCCCCAATCTACTATATAATACGTATTTGATTAGAAGGATCACTTCTGGATTATTATTGGAAACTAGAGGCCTGATGCACGAAATTTGTGCTAGAGTAGGCCTTTTCCCGGTTGCCAACACCGGCTTCCCTCTGGCACCTGGGACCTGGGCTTCCCACAGCCGCCCACAGGCACCCGGGACCCAGGCTTCCCTCGAAACTTCATCCGGAAGCCGTCGTCTAATTAGCATATTATGCTTTTATTATTATAGATGACATATTCAAATTAATAGTGAGCTACAAAGAAGCACAAAACACTGAAAGGTTTAAACATTCAGATTGACTTTTTCCCCAAGGCCTATGTATATAGATGGCATAGGCCCCAAGCCCAAAGGGAAAAAAAGATTTAATACTCACCCTTCCTTACCAGACAGAATGAATATGCCATCTCTGAGAGTCACACTACTCTCTTGAAATAGAACCTGCTCTAGGAAAGTCCTCTCACGTGAGAGTTGAACACACCCTACAGAGAGCATAGCACGTAATTTGCCACTCTTACCATCCTCATGCTGGGATTACACACATGGCAATGCGTAATTTTACATGTCCCTCAAAAGTATACAGAAAGACTACAAAGGCATCTCAGCCTTCTAGCTTCTTAAGTTAGAAAGTACAGGAAAGTTGAGCTCATTAAATTTCTTAAGGATTAAACTTTTGATAGAAATTAAGTTCTAAACTCTGAAAAGATTTTAATTGAAATGTGTTTAATCCAGATTCACATGTAATGAATTCTAAACGCAGGGAAGCCTCTCACTATTGAACAGAGATTTGTTATCATGGTAATATTGATGCATAGCACATGAAATGGGAAACATTACCAGGAAAAAAAGATATAAATTGCATTGGGTTTATAAAACAAAACTAGACCATTTAAAGTTCTGTTCATTTATGAAACAGACATAAAACTCTTTAAAAATGTTAACATATATATGCAGGAATTACTGCAAAGATTAATATTTGTTGCCCCTTTAATACAATCATTCTAAAGATCTTTACCCTTCACATTCAACATGGAAAGATATGAATGTGGTAATGTTTTTTAAAAATTTAAGGGCATCACTTAATAGACCATTTAAAGGTAATAATGTTTGTGATTATTTCCAAAGTATTGCTTACTGATTTTAAATTATGACCCCTGAAAACACTAAGTATAACATGCTTCACAAGTATATTTCTATGGCACTTTGTTCATTTGATAGCACTTATCACTTATAATTACATGTTTACACATCTGTTTTTCACACTGTTTTGAATCTCTGGAGGACAGGAATTGTCTTGTTCATCTTTTAACACACAATGTAGTATGCATTGAATAAATGTGTGAATGAATGGATAGGCCTTGGCTGATAGTTAATTATTGAACTTTTGAAGGTGTGTAAACTTTGTTTCACAGCACTGACAGGCGGAATCTTAATTCCATTTTGTAATGGGAATTTCGGGTTCTCAGGGAAGTGTCTCAGGGAAGTGTCGGAATAGGGGAGTGCTAAAGGCCAAGTCAATAATCCATGCATGGTGGGCCTGAAGCATGAAGGGAACAGCTGGATCCAGCTGGAAAATTAAATTGCAGGCATTTTGGAGAGCCTTGAAGGTCCCAGGAACTGGTTTGCATTTCCAGTGTCTCTGAGGAAAAAAACATACCTGTAATTTAGGTTCCTATCTGGTGGCATTATGAAGTATGAGTTAGAGAAAGATTGGAGTCAAGGAAAGTAGTTTAGGAAGCATCATTGTCCACACAAGGGAGAAATGAAGGTCTGAATTAGGGCAGTGGGAGTAGAAGGGAAGAAACATTTAAGACACTGCCCTGTAAAATCAGTCCTTAACAACTGGTTACACGTAAGGAAGGGTCAGAGAGGAGACTGACTTACCTCTGAGTTTCCTTAGAGCCTGGGTTCCCCAGACCTGTGTGTGTGTGTGTGTGTAAGTGTAATCACCTCTTCATCAGGACATGGGCATTGTAAATGTAGTTATAAATTACCTGGTGAGGTGAAATAATAGGAGGATAGTGGCATTTTAAAAAATTATGTCTGTCTAGCTATTTATTTAGTGTGCTCTCAAATACTTCTCTCAGGTACCAAAACATGTTAAAAATGTCCACCTTGTGCCTAAAAACAATACATTTTAAAGCTAGTCCAGTGTATTCACAATGTATGTGTTTCTAAGTGTTCTACTTGTCAAAATATTCTGCTCAGATCTAAGATAAGTTCTCAAAGACTACATTTTACTGTTTTTAACCATTGATTGAACCATTGATGTCCTCATTTTCCTCATTCTGATACTTTTCACTTCAGTGTCATAATAATAATCTGATTGCTCAATGACGTGGAAATTATAGATTAAGCTGTTCGGAAAACAAGGGGGAGTATATTTTCATCTGGCGGGTGTAAAGCCACCTCTTGGGAGGGTAAGAGACTGAGCAGTGGCCAACTTAAACATTAAGCCCTTGCCCGTAGGCCCCACAGAGGTATTAGCTCAGTTTGGCAAAGGAAGGAGCATGTTTATATAATAGAAGCAGTTTTCCCCATATTTAATAATTCTAACACTTGAATGGTTTCCCACTTATAACACTGCAAAGAGGCACACCTCAATGTTCTTTGAAACAGCTTTTGACACAAAGGAAAGTGTGACTTTTCACCTTCCCTCTGATCTCAGTGGTCAGAAATGTTCATGAGTAAAATTTATCTCCTACCTTGACAGTTTCTTTCTTAAATGTACTAATTAATATACTAATTTACCTTTTGAAAGCTCTGCTATCAGGTAAATCATGATTGTCAAAGAATTGGGCTCGTCCTGTCTAGTATGGCTTAGTGGATGCAGACTTAGTGAATCCAGTCAAGGGCACATGTCTGGCTTGCAGACTCCATCCCCAGTGGGGGGGGGGGGGGGGGGGGGCGTGCAGGAACAGCCAATCAATGATTTTCTCTCATCATTGATGTTTCTCTCTCCTTCTTCTTTTTCCTTCTCTGAAATCAGTAGTGTGTGTGTGTGTGTGTGTGTGTGTGTGTGTGTGTGTGTGTAATTTATTTATTTATTTATTTATTTTTAAGAGAATTGGGCTCGTCCCCGGTGAGCTCTGCTTAGCGATGGCTTTTTCCTCAGGCAGACAGCAGGATGACTACAGCACTTTCTCCTGTCCAGGCGCAGTGGTATCCAGAAGTGAGGAAGTTTTTTTCAGGAGTTCTCCCCCTAATCCCCAGCAGGCCCTCCTTTCTCATTGGCCAGAATTGGGCCCATGCCATGCCCGTCACAGGCAGGACCGGTGGGGGGACCTGCATTCCCCAGAGTCACACACAGGAGCGGGTGGTGCTCACACAGCCCTGTCCCCTTGTAGTCAGTGTGTGTGTGTGTGTGTGTGTGTGCGCGCGCGCGCTTCACCCCGTGGCCTGGCGTTCCACATTCCCTGTCCTGTCTGCTCTGCCTTTGATCGGTATCCTGGGGTGGAAATGTTAGAAAAAAGGAAACTAAGAGCATCCTCAGAGCACCTCTTTCTACAAACACTCAGCCCCATAGAAGCTGAGAACTAATGGGGAAGTGTGTGTAGCCAGGGACAAGCTTGTTGCTGTGATGTTACTAGTATATACTTCGAACATCTTTGGAGGGTAACTTCCAAAACACAAGTGTATGTTGGTTGCAGATAATGCTTGGTGAGTTGTGGGCTTTGTTTCTGCCAGTACTCTATAATGGAAACTTGTTTGTTTCTTCAGTAATCTATAAAGGGAAATTGTTTAGATTTTATAAGTATTGGTTGTTTAATTTTCTTTCTTTTTTTTTTTTTTTTTTTTTTTTTCCTTTAATCTAGAACTTTTCTGGCAAAAGAAGAAAAGTTCAACCACCTCAGGTAAATTATTTCATTTTCATTTTAGCTTCTGAAATAGTTTGATTAGTTTTATACCTTTCTTAAAAGTTTCTACTATGGTTGCTTTTTAGGTCATACATTGGAACTTAGAACTAAAAAAGGGCAGCATAAATTAATGAAGTAATTTTATTTCAAGGGCATAGGATAAGTCAGATGGGCCTAATAAACATAAGAGTCTATATTCATCTGTTAATGGTAGAAGGATATATCAGTTACAAAATGCTGAAAAATAGTAAATGCTTAAGTACTGTGATTTAAATCTCACTCCTTCCCCTTTTGAAGCTGCCACTCATTAGCAGCATCTAAATCAAAGAAGAATGTTTGCCAGAGGCTGCCTTCAGCCCAGCCTTGTCCATAGTACTTTTATATGAACTAGAGGCCAGGTGCGCAGAATTTGTGCATGGGAGGGGAGGTGTGTGTCCCTTGGCTCAGCTTGCACCCTCTTGCAATCTGGGCCCCCTTGGGTAGGGTGCCTAGGCCTGGCTGGCGATTAGGGCCTATTGGGGCTCTCCTTCCCCCGCTGCTGGCAGCCGTCCTTGCCCTGGCCGTTGCCACTGCTTGCCATCTGTGTGATGCTGGCCCTCCCTCCCCCGCCACTGGTCGCCTCCCTCTGCGGACAACAGGCGTGGGGTGTGATTGCTTGGCCTGCCTGGGCCTCCATCTGTGGGGCAATCGCTGGCCGGCCCCACACACCCGCCACAGCATTGCTGGCTGGTGCCTGGCCTTCCTCTTTGGGGCAATAGATCGAAGAGCCCCTTCCCCACATCGATCACCCTGCAGAGGGTGGCCTGGGCCTCCCTCTTTAGGGTGATCATGGGGCAATGGCGGCGTCCCCCAACCAGTTGCATCACACCCACTTTGGCTGGCCTGGGGCCAGTGTGTGTCATAGCATGGTTGTCCGAAAGGTCGTCCAGACAGTCGTTCTGCTGTTCTTTGGTTGTTCGGTTCATTTGCATATTATGCTTTTGTTGTTATATATTATTATAGATTAGTTTAATCATAATTTATAAGGTTTGCTACCCTTCAATGGTGGTGATATAAATTTAAAGTGGGGGGAAAACTCTAAAAATTTGTTAGGTTGGCTTATTTTTCAAGAGTAGCATGTTACTTATTTTTTTTTATTGTACAATTTTGAGTAATTTTTGAGAGCATCCATTTTTTCCAGGAGAGGTAGTTGATTGCAGTTGATCCATAAAAAAAGAGAATTTCTAGGTATTTTAAGCACTTAAGCTAATCCTAAACTTTAATTTTTTCCCTACTGATTATTAATATAATCAGTAGTTTTTTAAAAAGTTTTTATAATCTTTTCAAAGTATAAAAGGTCCAGGAGAGCTTTCATTAGGAAAGGAAAGAAAAAATAGAAAGAATTTTAAGCCTTGTTATTATATACCTTAAAATTTATGATAGAGTCAACATATATGGTTCAATTTTAAAATTATTCTTAGAAAAAGAGACATTTATCATGCTTTTGGATATTTTAAATATTTATAGTTCATTTATCACTTTATCTGCATTGAGATACTTCAGAGTCTTATTCAGCAATTTGTGTTCTTATTGTTTACAGCAGAACTATTCCCTGGCTGAGCTTGATGAGAAAATTAGTGCTCTCAAACAGGCCCTGCTTCGGAAATCAAGAGAAGCGGACTCCATGGCAACTCACCACCTCCCATGAAAAACTCGTCTCATCTTTGTCATTTTACTTTTTTATATACTTGTGTATTACTTACCCTGCAATTAATTAAATGGATACATATTTATCAATGTAGACATCCCTCCGAAGTCTAGGTTTATTTTCAGACGAGTCCAGCTTGCAGCAAGTAATCTTCCAATATCCCAATGAATTATGAAATAGTTAATGCATTGAACATAGCATTGTCAGAATTTATTTCCTTCTGTTTTAAAGGAGGTATTTTGGAAATTAAGAAACTTAATTTGAAAATACATCTTTGTGTGTGTGTCCCACAGAAAGATTTGTTTTGAATAGTGATATTTAAAAGCCGTATTTATATTTGTAACACTGATGTTAACCAGTTTATTAGTTTAAGTCAGTACTTTGTATATAGTAGGCATTCAATAAAAATTAATTGACCAAAATGAATTTTAAATGAATGCATACTTTTTTTTTCAAATGTCAATTTTAATGTAAATAAACAGTAGATTCTGCCTTTATTCCCTTATTGATTGATTGTATGACCTTGAGTAAGTTATTTGTCTCTCTTTGTGCCTTAATTTCTTTACCTGTGAAGTGGGAGTGGTAATAATAGAGTGTTTGTCATGAAGAACAAACAGGTGGAATCATGCATGTACGACTTTTGAAACTGGCCCAAGGAAAGTACACAGTAAATGTTAGCTGTTATTGTTTAAGGCTACTTAAAACCAAGTCTGTCTTTGGTACGTTGTAAAATACTACAAATTATAGTCCTTTTTCCTTGAGAGCCTCACTTTTTTTACAGTACCTACCCTGGTTAATGTTAGGTGGTACATATAGTTCCATAGTTGCAAATTAAACACTAAAAAGATGCGGCTACAATCAAGGAGCAGATGTTTAAATCAAGAATCGTTTGGTTGTAAGAATCAAAAGTCTTACCTAAAGTAGTTTATAAAAGGAATTGTTGAAAAATACACACAGAAATCTTGAACTTAATTGCAGAAGTACAGATGAGTGTTGTGGTGTCTGGAAAGTTTAGCAGTTTATCTCTGTGTCTGTAGCTGCCTCTGGCTCTGTTTCTTTGTCTAGGTCTGTCTGTCCTCTTCCCTCCTTGTTTTCTGCTCTCCCTTTGTCTCCCTCATTCTTTTTCTCTTACACAATGATCATCTATGCATCTGCTTTGTTCTCTATGAACTGGTTTCTCTGAAGGCCTCTTCCTTTCTGCTTCCCTGCTCAGGTGACTGGTAGTCCTGTCTCCATAGCCTTGGCTTGCTCGTGCCTTGCCCCTGCCATGGTGCACACGCTGAACCCAGTGCTGCAGAATTTTGCAGCTGACCTCTGCTGATTACCTGTCTGAATCTCTTAGGGCTCTCAGTCAGTTGTGGACAGGATGGTGGGGCAGGAACCTCTAAGACTGCAGTGTGCACACCATCTTGCACAACCATTGTGGAAGCCTTGAAAATGGGGTTTCGAAATCATTCTCAAGAAGTGAATGTGCTCTAGGCCAATACCACTGACTCTTACCACTATTCTCTGTAGAGGAAACTCATTCTACAAGACAGTTTTGCTTAAAGTGCTCCAGTATTTCAGATACAGCCACAAATGCCTGTCCCTCAGTCTCCATCTGGTCTTTGTAATCACCATCCTGCCAGAATGACCCCCTCTGGGTTTTCTGGCACACTTTACTACCATCACATCACCAATGAAGCAGGGAAACCGTCAGTAAAAACAATCACTTAGAAAAACAGGCTGACTTAGAGGTGGGCAAGAAACTTAGAAAGCAGGATGACATACAGGTCACTAGTCTACCCCTACATGAATGTCGAGTCTGTTTCTTGACTCCCTTGGCAGTAGACAAGATCCTAAGTCATGTCGGACAGTCCTAGGATCTGGCCATCAGAAGGATTTTCCTTTTTGCTATTGTCCTGCAGGCCTGCTCCTCTAAAGGACATTAGAGTCCTCTTCTCTACACTTCAGTGAATTTTGTCTGGTGCCGGCATCCTTTCCCCCACTTGAGTCAGAGCCGCCAGAAGAGATGGTACCGGTGCCTGGTCAAGAGTAAAGTTCTGGTGATGGCTACTTCAGTTAGTGGCTTTCAGTCAGTGTCTTTCTT